AATTCCGATAAAACTTGCTCGATAGCCACGCTATCGCTAGTTTCATCGGCCGAAGCCGCCATGTTCTTTAGACTGAACTGTCGCGCTTCTCGTTGCGTCACACCTCAACCCGCCTCAAAGCCAACACTGATTGGACGTTCATTTGGTGAACTGCTCCAAATTTTCTTTAACGGAAAGTAGCCAGACTGATCTGCGAGTGAAACCTTGAAAGCTCGCGAGATCAGGATGGTCTCACGAGGCCAGCCTTCTTTGGCTCATGTGCATTGTTAGGTCCTGTGTCTCTCATCTGGATGGGATTCTCTAAAATATCCTGGTAGATAAATGGATCGACTTTGACTTCAGAAAGACAGTGGACCGACGGCAGCAGATGACATGGCCCCCCCTAGCCTTCACTGACTGAGGAGACTTTATCTCCTTCCTGGGGACTTTGGCTAAAAGAACAATAGTTATTGCTTTTTCATTAACCATCAAATGGCATAAATTGTAATTATGATTATTTCACTAGATGGAAACACTTCAACTTAAAAAAAAAACTCAAAACTTACTCTTTGATCTGTTTTTTTTTTTTGTCATATCAAAATTGTTATATTTTGCAAAACTTCAATGGAAACACTCTAATATGTTGTGTTGAGAGAAAAGTTCTTTTTAAGAGGAATAAGAGGACCTGAGGTAGTTAGAGGATGATGGTGTGGCATTTTTGGATTCACAAGGAGACTGAGGTTTTTTTTTTGCATTAAGTCCATGATGATGCGTACTAGAGCTGATGCTGAAATAGAGATTTATCTCATGTGTTCACATCTGTCGCTGCCATGTTCTTTTCAAGAGTAGTTTTCATGAATGGAGGTATCCATCCACCCATCTTCTACCGCTTATTCCATCAAGGTCACGGCTGGGTGGGTGCCTTTCTCCAACAGTCTATGGGAGCGGTGCACTGTGGATAGGCCGGCAGTCCATTACAGGACCACACAGAGTCACACAACCATGCACACACACACCTAAGGACAAATTAAAAATTCTAATCAGCCTAACAGTCATGTTTTTTGGGGCTGTTGGAGGAAGCAAGAGTACCCGGAGAGAACCCATGCATGCAGGGGGAGAACATGAACCTCCACGCAGAAAACCCCCAGGCCAGGAATCATACCTGAAACCTTCCTGTTGCAAGGCAACATTGCTTAAAAATAGCTGAAAATAGGTACCTAACATGGAAATGCCATAGTTGGAAAAAATAGAATAATGACATAGGTTTGTGCACATTGGTAATGGAAACTGACTTACTAAATCCAGTGTTTCACAAAAATATTGACATATTCTGAGCCTTTTCACATTTTTTACAATACAAATATGAACTTTGATGTTTATTGGTGGGTTTAATGCAGTGGAGAAATCAAATTATCAATGAGTAGTAGCCAATCACAGACAGTTTACTTTCCCCTGATGATTTCATCCTTAAAGTGAGAAAAGTTTCCATAGGTGTAAAGAAACAGGTCCACGTGCCAGTAGGAGAGAATCTACCGGTGCATAAAAACCAAGAGAGTGAAGAGAAGGAGCATGAACTCATGTTTTTGATATTTTCTTAAGGTACTAAATCTGCACACATATGTTCAAAATCTACATTGAGAGTAGATTATGTTTGTGTGTTTAAAATAAACTGATCATACGAGTATTTATTGATTGGGTGCACCTTGGGCAGAATTCTGATTGTATGTAAACCCAACTGGCAACACTGCACTGCACATTTACACAGTCTCCCTCAGTGCCATGGAATCTGCTAACAGACCACTTTGGATCACTAGATTAGGAAGTTATGGATATCCTTGTAAATTCTAGGCCAGATTCACATCCCTGGATTAAATATTTCATCAGAGAACAAACAATATGTCTGATCAGGTGGCCTAACAGCTTTTAGTGTGGTGAGCTCTGGTGTTTAAGGGAAGCTCAAACACCTCTAAAGCAGATGTCACGGATTAGCGGACCAGGGTCTGGATCCAGACCCACCTGCCGGCTAATCCGGACCCAACCTGATTTAAAACATTTATAAATTACTGCATGTTGTCCAACAGCAGTGTGTAACTTCACTTGCCACTTGTCTCCATTAAAACCCAGGGTTTAAAGCCTTGCAGGGGATCCTAAAGCCCACTGCTCTCATTAAGCCATAAAAAAGGAAAAAACAAAACAGTCAGGTCAGGTGTTTTATACAAAAAGTGAGTCAGGAATTTGTCTATATATCAAACTGAGCGATTGTTGTTCTCTACTTCAAAAAACAATTTAGATTTTTTTTTTTTTATCAATGTATAACATGGATGCATTAACACCTCATTTTATTTCAGTGTTAAATTCTGTTTAAAGAAACAGATTATAATTAAAAATGTCTTCGGACCTTACCTGGTTGATGATTTCCTTTATGCAGACCCTACTGATTTTTAATCAGTTACCCCCGCTGTAAAGCATTGCTCTCAGTCACATGACTCATTCAGTGACGGATCCGACCCTCAAGCTACAAAGGCGAGTTTTTAAGTGGGCCAGCCCACATGGAGCATTAATGCAGCGCTGTATATTGATCTAAAACATTATTTAATATGTCTCAAATTAAGCTAATTCCTGAGTCAAAATTTTGTTAGTTTAAGAGCTGTAAAATTTGACATGTTCAATGTATCTTATCCCTGCACTGGGAAAAACAATCTAGCAATGGAATGACTATTTTTACTCTTAAAATAAGATAATTAGATAACATGCACTTGAAATAAGACAATGCAATTGTGTTATTTAATTTTAAATGTAAATTGTCTTGTTCTATTGGGAAAATTTCTCTTTTACCTCTTCAATCCAAGAACAAATGCACTTATTTTATGAAAAAATGACTAGATTTCGATTTTTTCCGAAAGTGATCCAACGCTGCAAAACTGATCATAAAATGAGCAAAAAAAATTATCTTGAAATAAGTTTATCTACCCTTAATTTAAGTGGGTAAATAAAATTGTCTGCAAATGGAATAGGTATGTTTAGCATAAAAAAAATAGATATTATGCACTTGAAATAAAAGACTGCAGTTGTTTATAGAATATATATTTTAAAAGTAACTTTAAAAGGAACCTCATTACCTTTAACAGACCATAATCACACTGCAAAAAAGATATAGAAATAAGTAAGAATTTCTTAAATTAAGTTTATTTATCCTTATTTTAAGTAAGTAAATGAGATAGTTTGGCAATGGAATGAGTATTTTTTACTCTTAAAATAAGATAATTAGATAATATGCAATTGAAATAAGACAATGCAATTGTGTTTTCTTATTTTAAATCTACATTGTCTTGTTCCATTGGCAAAATGTCTATTTTACCTCCTCAATTCAAGAACAAATGCACTTATTTAGGGAAAAATTACTTATTACTTATATGGATTTCAATTTTTTCCAGTGCACCAGTGTTTAAAGAATACATCAATATTTACCCTCTTTTATAGCTTGTAGCATTTTGTCATTTATAATAATAGCAAAGACCTAATATGTGTTAATTAAAATTTGATATGTCACTAGTAAAAATAACTGGCAGCTATTTAGGTGATCCATGTTCCAAAATGGAGGCTTTATTTCAAAGCAAAAGTCAATGAACAGGATTCACAGAGGAGGATTTTTTTATTCAATACAGGCATAATGAAACCATTCACTTCATAGTTATGTCTGGTTTGAGTATTTTGGTAAAACAGACTACAGGAGGGATTAATGACATTCAGAAGCAGCAGACCTGTAGCATGTCGGCTCATGAGTGGAGATGAGCAGAGATTAAAAGAGCTGAAAAAAGACAAAATACCGGAAATGGAAAAGTTTGAAAAAATTCCATTCCCTTGACAAAGTGTCACACCTCCCCAATTCAAGAAAAAAAATGCATAATTTAAGAAAAATTACTTAGATTTTTTTGCGATTAACCTTTTGTGCTCCTTGATCTTAATGATGCTGTTTGCTCACAAATGCTCTCTAAAGAAGCTTTGGGGCTGAGAGCCAAAAACTGGACTTCAAAGGTGTCTGAATATTATTTTTCCTAATTTAATATCTGTGAATCATTTATTCATCTTCTATTTCATGCTCATCTGTTGCATACAATCCCAGTAAAACACATTAAAGTTTGTGGATTTAAATTGTAACAAAAGAAAAAAAGGAGATAAGGTCAAAGTGTGTTAATGTTTTTGAACGGCACTGAACTCGTCTTCAGCTGCCAGGGCATCGATATTCAGGACACGTCACCTCCTCAGCCTGTATCATTCCACCTTTGAAATCTGTTTTTCCTGACCTCTAAAAACCTTGATATTGAAACAGCAGGTGCATAAAAATGCACCAGAGAAATAAATGTCTGTGCAGGTGAAACCAGACGGATGTCTAGGAAGACAGATGTAGTTAATTTAAGATGGCCCCTTCTTTTTTCAGGTTGCAGTGACGGTAATCCAGAAGAACGCTGTTTGCCTTTTCTGGCTGTGAATTAGTTAACTCTCTCCTCAACTGGCAGAATGATTGCCTCCAACAAATGTGGGATTAATTGTAGCTGGTGATTAATCAGAGGAAATGAAATATTATTGCTGTCTGGTGATCATTAGCAGAGGGTGTCCCATCGTGTGGTTTAGAAGAACCCTTGCTGGTATCCCCAGTGTGTGTGTGCTGCCGTTAATGACCCAGGTCTCCGGTAATCCATTTTCACATAGAATAATTACATTCTGGAATAAGTCCTTTATTTAACATACTTTAGAGACATTTAAAGGTTACCTCGCCCTTTTCCCCTCAGCACTGCTGCATCCATTAAATCTGCATGCTGTCCGTGAACAGCCGGACTCACAAGGACAGCTCCAGGCCCTTCTCATTAAAGACAAGAAATGCATTTCTTTTTTTTTCCTCAGCAGTGTCATTTATTTTAATTAAATTGTGTTGTTCTCTGGCTCTGCGTTGCCTTTTCTTATAGATATGACAATGAGGGAAAGTTCAGTGCTGATTTTCTGTTTTCTAAACAACAGTTGAGAAATGAATACATTATTAACTCTCATAACCTTCCTTTCTTTCTCTCAACAGTTTATAGAGGTGGTCGTGTTTTGCATTCTGCTCTATCTATACAAGAAGAGGGGTGTGAAGCACATTGTGATCGTGATGCTGCTGGTGGCCCTGCTTGGTAGGAACTGCTAGAAAAGTGTCTAAAGGAGGCCAGAGGTTATAGATTAAGCTATTTTAAGTAGGCAGAGGTGGCCTAGTTGCTTGGCTACCAGAAACAGACTTCTGCTATTGTTTCTGTTAAAAGATGAGTAGAAAACAATGGGAACAAATATTAATTCACATTTGCAGAGAAACCGCCTCCACAAGTTTAACAAAACAGGGAGGTGGATTGTTTTTTTTTTTTATTTCTACAAGTTGAACAAATGCTGAAGCGCTGCTCTGCCTTTGCAGCCTCTCTTACGGTCATCTCGGTCAAAGCCGTGTCAGGGATGATCACAGAGTCGATAAAAGGCCAGCTGCAGCTCATCTACCCCATCTTCTACGTCATGCTCGTCGTCATGGTGGCCTCCTGCGCTTTCCAGATCAAGTTAGTCCAGCTTTTATTGTTCCCAGCCTCTGTGTGATCCTTAATTTAAATCACCCCTGTTCACAACAAGCTCAATCTATTTAGTGGATTTCAGTTTTCTAAACATAGATCATTATGCAATGTTTGGTTGAAAAAAAGGGGGGAAAGATAACTTTGCTTTTGTTTTCTCCACAGATTCCTAAATCAGGCTATGAAAATGTTTGATGCCACGGAGGTGGTTCCCATCAACTTTGTGTTTTTCACTGCAAGCGCCATCATTGCAGGTATGCAAAGTATTCTCTGAAGAGATTCTTTTGAACAATGTAATAATTGTCAGATTTTTTATATAGATATTGTCATGATGTTACAAAGTTCAGACCCAGATGCAAAAAAAACAAACAGAGAGACCAGGGAAAAGGTTTAACGGGTTTTATTGAAGA